TCGTATACATGCCATGTAAACCATGCTTGCTAGCCAAATTTGCATGCTATTTTAGTCCATCATGTTAGCACTTTTTGGCCATGTTTTAAACTAGAAATGTGAATGTTTTGGGACTGCCTTGGCTCTGTGTTTGTACCTCATGGCCAAATAGTAATTGTTTTGCATAGTTATAATTCAATACATGTGCCTAGCTTTGAGTTTCGGGGCTTATTTCATGCATTGGGTGCCTTATTTCCATGTTTCGGGATCATTTAGCATCATGTTTCAGTGTTGGAGATTGCATGTTTGTATGCCATCTTTCATCCCTTGCCATGCTTTGGTAGACTGGCATTTTATGCCTTAGGTTCGGTCCTCGGTATGCGTGCACATGTACACGCATTTCGGTTGTCGGTTTTCCATCTAATGGCCACTAATGTGAGTGTGGTTGAGGTCCACTCATGTTGGTGTAAGTCCATCGTGCATTCGGTCCATAGCATTGTGTATGCTGAGTTGCACGTTAGAGCATTGTGTATGCCATGTTACATCGAGCATTGTATATGTCATTTCATAGCATTGCGTATGCTAGGTTGTATGTTAGTCGCATTGCGTATGCCATCTCATTTGCATCGTGTTTGGGATAGGAGTTAGTCCCAGGACGGGAAACGAGGGACGTTTCGTACTCCGAGTGACGGAACGTGTCTCAATTCCCGGTCGCCGACACTGCGGATTACCCATGATGGAGTTTAGGTCTTGTTGTATTTTCATTTGCATTCATTTCATATTGAGTCATGCAATTCGACTCCTCGGCCATCATGCATCGAGATGCGTGATTGGTGGCACGAGGATCGAGGACTACACTCCCTGGAGCTTGTGCAATGATGGGGAGGGTGGTCATGCACACATATGTTGAAAATATTTTGCCATGTCATTTTCTCACTCTCTATTGCAGCAAACCGGAAACCAGCAGCAAAAACTGGTCAGCAGCCTTTGTGGAGCTTTGTACAGTGTTCTGGGACCAGTTGCAAACAGAGGCAAATTGGGGCATCGCGATGGATTTCCCGACAAGGCGACTTGAGCATGCATGCATCCCTATCATTCGGAACAGAGCTGAGGCAGTCCATTTTGTTTAATTTGCATGCTAAAAAAAAAAAAGAGAGATGATAGCTTTTGACAAGACAACTACGTTGTAGTC